GCCAAGGAAACCAAAGTTCAAGACGGTGTTTTCAGTGCTGAGCAGGCTTGCCACATTCCTTGCTGGCTATTAGTAGGGCATGAAGGACCGGAACAAAAATTGCAACTACTATGTTGCTGGGGGTTATATCGGGGCTACTCTCAAGATCCACTCCTCCATCCCCTTCTAGCAACCAGCCACAATGGGGTCAACAGGCGTTTCGGCATCCGCCGTCGACAGGTCACCTGGCGATCACTTTGGGAAGCTTAGAGCTGGAATCTGGGTTTAGGGTGTAGGCCCCCTAACCCTAAACCCTAAACCCCTAAACCCTAAACTAACATGGAAGCACATCCTAAGTAGTTTTTGTAAGGCCTCCTTTGGGCTTCTATGGAGACTGTGCTGTTGTGGTCTAGTGACAAAGGAGCCCTGCAAAGGCGAGGTCCCAGGACCCTACCTCAACCATCCAGAAACAAAAGCTCTGCAAACCTAATTTCATGTCAAAACGGAAATGCAAAGGAATCAGCGCTCTCCCTTGGATCATTTTGTTGCATGGATAGGCATGGAGCTATAGAGAACAAGACTCACAGCAGCCAATGATAATAATACCAAAAAACAACAATACGGCTAATAATCATGATAATAATAATAATGGTAATAGTATTCTTCGAATCTACCTGCAGCCTTGCGTTTGCAGCTTCCTGCTGCAAGCCCAAATTCGTCCGGCTGCTCCTACTCCTCCTGTGCGCCCTTAGTTAGGGTTTAGGAGTTTAGGGGTTTAGGGGTTCAGGGTTTAGGGTTTAGGGGTTTAAGGCTTGGGCGCGTAGGGTTTAGGGTTTAGGGTTTAGGGTTTAGGGTTCGGCATCACAAGCCTTAAGCCTTTTCTCAATGACCAATCGTGTTATTGTCCTTTCAGTGATTCTACAAGATTTTGACCTTCCTTGTCTAAGCCATTACCACATCTATCAGAAAGAAAGCTGCTCGAATATTGGAGGGCATTATCACACTCAAGACCGTGGCACACATGGAGGCTCGCACATCTAGTGATAAGTAGGGTATCTAGTGCCAGAACTTCTGCCACCACAACCAAACCCTGAAAAACAGACTCTAAACCCTAAACCCTAAGCCCCAAACCCTAAAGTCTCCACCCTCCAAAACCCTGAACCCAAAAACCCTAAGGCCTAACCCGCAAACCCTGTAAGCATTGCAGTCTTCAAAGATCGCCCAGAGCCGAATCCTCAAACCCCAAGCCTGAAGAATTGAACGGTTTTGTGTTGAGGAGTTTAGGGTTTAGGGGTTTAGGAGTTTAGGGCTTAGGAGTTTAGGGTTTACGGGTTTAGGGGTTTAGGGTTTAGGGGTTTTGGGGGTTTTGGGCTTAGGGGTTTGGGGATTGGGGTTTTGGGGTTTTGGGGTTTTAGGTAGATAGTAGATCGTTAACCTGCAGCCACAACCCCAAGTGGGCATCTCCCACAAGTTTTAAAATTCCACGTTGCAAGCTGCTCTCGATCTAGGGTCCCAGGTGCCACATATTTCAACCGTCTATTGGATGTCAGTACCGTAAACCCAAAACCCTAAACCCTAGGACCACACCCCCAATCCTTGCACCTCTGCACCCTAAACTGGGTGGCTGTTAAGGAGCGTAATTGAAGTCACTACATTGGGGAAACCATATTCACTACTATGTACACCCATTCTGGTAACTTACTTTAAGTTCCTCAACAGCAACCCAGTAAACCCTCTGAAAACCCTTGTCCCCACATTCCCAAACCCCCCCCATGCGCCTATAGACGGCTGTGGCCAAGTGGCACAGGCGACAAGCAGGGAGACGACCCCTGGCAAACAGAACTCTGAATCTAGGCCGGTATATAAAGAACCCCTATACTTGGCTTGTCAGGGGACTTGGTACTAGGTTAGTCATGGGGATAATTGGGGTTGCTATTATTAACCTGCTTACTAAGTCCCAGTGACCATCCAAGTAGTATTCTCGAATCCAGTATATATCAAAAAAATAGTATTATCTGAAAAAGTGACTGTAGAAATTATACCTGTTTATAAGTTGAGCGTTCCCCTACCTAGCTCTGAAGTAAACCGCTCCTCTGCTGGTCTTTACTACCCTTTACCCTTGATATATGAAAATCTTGCATGACCCAAAGTACCACACGCCTTAGGATTTAAGGTATTCTAGCCTACATAAATATGATATGCCTGGGGATTTATAGTATGCTGACGTCATGCAGGGTTTGCTGTATGAACGCCTTTGACACTAGTTACCCTGCATGACCTTAGTATGAAGTAGCTGTAACCGTAGCAACCCTTTAGACAGAATAAGTAGGAATGACAACATGGCGCTGGTCAATACAATATGCGGGGATGTCTATCAATAGTGGTGGGGTGGTGTCAATACAGGGGGCACGGGATTAACATGGTTCACAATAGTGGAGACAGCAGCAGTAGCAGCATAATTATGAAGAACGTGTTTAGCTCCCTAGGCTGTTGGTGATGCTGAGTATATAACACTATGAAAAGCCCAGAGCGACACGAATGCGGATGATCAAGGCAAATACCTTAAGCTTTCCATGTATATGATTGCAAAACGAATCTTTTGGTGGTGCCTCTAGGCAATGGCCCTGTATATGTAAGCCGAGACAGCAGCATCTGTACTTTGACTAACCTTTACAAAGCGCCCATGGTTTCAAGAGGCTGCCATATGCAGGTGCTGTATAAGCGTGTGTTGTCTCAGCCTACCCGGTCCCACTGAAGGGTTTGAATAGAAGAAGCGGGAACACAAGCAGCAACAATAGTAGCCGTAGTAAGAGTTATTCATGGGAATGATACTGAGAAAGATGGTGACAGCTCGATAATTAACCATGAGCATCACCTGCCCTGATACTCAACCCTCCCAAGCCCCTAGGAACAAGTGCCCCTTAATAGTAACATCATACAGGGGAGGGGGGTATTGATTATTAGGGAGAGTGGGGATTGGAGGAAGGGGCGTAATCACAGAAACGACAGTAAAGGGAAGGCTGGAGGTGTTTCTTGCAATTATCCAATGGTCGGGTGACCTAACCGTACTGGTGGGAGAATGGTGGAGTGAATATACGGAAAATCGCAGCAGCCTAAACCCTGGCAAGCAGTGAAAACTCAAGTCT